TACGATAACATATGTATTTGCTTCATGTCAAAATATAATGCATCTTAGTTATTTTCATATTATCACGCGTATTAGAGAGCCGAATTTTAGCAAGCCAAACGCATGCAAGAGTAGGAGCGGCTCCATGAGCCAATAGCATAAGCAACCTGTTTTAACGCTATTAATATGACTAGTCGTCAACCCGTGCATTTGCACGGGCTAGTAATCTTTTTTATTCAATCTATATTAGGAACAAATATATTTTCTAATACGAAACACTATAATTGAGACGTTTGTGAAGCATATACATTTAGAAATATGGAGATTACCAAAGAAGCTATGCATATCAGTTAGATGAAATCATAATCTAATGCCACAAAACTAATGTATTTTCTAATAATATGGTATCACATTATATTGCTCAAAGCTCAGTCCATCAAGATGCAATCGTCTGTGAAAATTTTCTCAAATCGTTTGCAATCGCTTGTTTTCACCTATGTACTCAACGTCTTGTAATATTCTACTCAAATGATGATACTGTTTTCACTGCTCGGTAACTAATTAGCATTTGGTCGAACTTCTCCTAAGAATACATAGAATTTATAACCTTGTATATGCTTATATTCCAAAAAATATTTAATATACCTAGGTGTCTCAAAAGAATGGTTAATTCTAGAAATCCATGTTGACTAATGACTGAGAAATTTGAATGTGAAATATTATGCCAAAGAGGAGAAGATATAGGTGCCTTGATCAAAATGTAGAGTTACAGAAAGAATAACTTATGAACACTTGATAAAAACAAACCACGACGATCAAGGATCCAGCAGCAGTGTTGAACTTTGGCAATATGAAGAAAATAAGACACTCTGAAGCCGGTTAGAAGTAGGAATCAAAATGATTTACAGGATTGACGAACCCTCTAGACATATAAACTAATGGATTCCAATGAAACTATAATAAATCATCAGAGGATGGAAGAAAAACAGTATGGTAGTTTCATTTGTTAAGAATTGTACGTTTGCAATCTAAAAGCAACATCATAATAGTGCTTTCGAATTTGCCAGAAAAATACTACTTTTGTTGTTCGAAAGGTTCCATCGAGGGAAGAGATAAGAGAGATATATAGAAATCTCACAATCAGTAGCCATACACCATGATACCGGACATAGGAAAATTGCATGCTATTGGAAAAAAAATTAGTGACACGTATCAGCTTAGCAGCTCCTCACCCACATGCAAGAAAACGAACGAAATAGGGCCAGTGTAATTTTTGAATATCTATGCTCGGTCAAAGAGAGCTTACTGAGGCACCCATCAGTGAAATTAGGTTGAGAATAGTATTGTCAAAATATTAGAGTGCCACATCGAGGTTCATACACAGAATAGGAGCCTGCAACAACAACGTGTTCCTGCGTACTATCTCAAACTGGCTATTTCCAAACCCACCTTAAAATAATTGGTTCGTGTGATTTAGCCAGTTTGATTCACATGCGTACCATGTAAGTTATATTATTTCTCATGCAGTTAATTAAGAAAGACGTAAGAATTTAATATGATTCAGGTGATGTAATATCAAAGGAAGGGACCAAGTGATGTTTAGCGTTTACGGAATTAGGTGTATACTACTGCCACCAAACAAAAGTAAATTCACCATGTCCCAGTTCAGAAATTAATAATGGTACTGACAAAAAACATATCAGCACATAATTGAGTTTTGAACCATCTCCTAATGAAGTGATAATTAGACAATGCACATCCTTGTGAAGCAGTTCCAAGCGAGCTGTGTGTTTTACGTACATAGCTAGAAGCAAATAATTCAGAATTAGGGACATGAGCTAGTTCTGCTTGTTCTGCTTGTTCTCGTCAAAATCTCGTCAGGGGATACAAAATAAATTCTGAAGAAAATCTTTTTGTGGCAAATTTTTTTTGTAAAGCACACAGCTCGCTTGGAACTGCTTGTGTGTTTTTCAGAATCAAGGATACAAAAATAAATTCTGAAGAAATCTTTTTGTGGCAAGATTTTTTTTTTGTATCCCTGATTCTTGTAGACGTGAGCTAGTTCTGCTTGTTCTCATCAAAATCTCGTCTCCTTCAGTTCCTTGTCCATCACCATGGCGACCACAGGCATGTATGCACCACATAGATCAAATTACCAAGAAATTGTTTGCTAGGGCACATCACTGCATGCCATTAGAGCTAATGTTTAATCCACATACTTGTATTTGTAGCACTATGTTTGGGCCAGCGAGCTCATCACCTGATAGGGAGTCGGCGTTTCACTGCGGCATGGTTGTTTGCAAATTCCAACGATTGGCTTGAATAACCATGGCAGAGCGTGCTTGGAACAGATAGAATCAGAGCTTCACCTAAGGAGAGGAGAAGAGCTGGGATCATTTCAGTACGCATGGGACATGTCTGGACAGGCGAGCTGGTCACCTGAGAGCGAGTCGGTGTTTGCACTGCAGCACGGCTGTGTGCTGGAACACATGTATTGTGTTTGAAAATTCCAATGATCGGCTTGAATAACCATGGCAGCACATGCTTGGAACGGATCGGATTGGAGCTTCACCTAGGGAGAGAAGAAGAGCTGGGATCATCTCAGTACCCACGGGTCTGAGGCTGGGGCGCATGAACCTAGGTTACCGAGAGCCTGATTGTGCGTCGTGTGATGCAAGGACTCGATCCAGCAGCTCGGTAGCTTCGTCGATCAACTCCCAATTAATCCCAGCACTCGCTTCGTTGTCAAGGTTGGGCCTTCAGCCTGAAAGAGATGGTGCGGTTTTTCCATGGGATAAGAGAGAGACGATATCCAAGCTGCAAGATTGCTTCGGAAGCGGAAGATGCCATGGAGTATAATACGTAGAGATTTCTTCAGATTGTTGATCTTGACTAATAAGAAGGAAGAGGTCGTGGAGTATTGTTATAGATTGCTTCAGGTTGTAGATTTTCTGGAAAAGGAGAAGATGCCGTACGTGGAGCTTTTTCAACAGGGAGAAGATGTAGTGGAGTTTTAGATAGATTGAGACTCCTTCTATTTTCAAACGTGAAAAGAGATTGAGTTAGAATTTTTTTCCTACTTAAATTTTAACTACCAAGAGAGGATTTTTGGCTCGTGGGATACATTGAGATTCCTTCTATTTTGAACCGCGCAAAGAGATTGAGTTATTTTTTTCCTACTTCTTTGTTTACAACCGATAAAGGATTTTGGGCCTTCTTGATCATTTTTTGTCCCTGGAATTTGTAGATTGATCTACACCGTAATAATTTGGTCCCACCAGATGAACGGCTCCTAATTTCTAATTAACGTGGGAATTATTAGGGAGTCTGTAATTAGTATAGGTATAGATATAGATAGATAGATAGATAGATATAGATAGATAGATAGATAGATAGATATAGATTTTATCTATATATTAAACAATTAAACTCTCTATATGCTATATGCAATCTAATTTCATGGTGGTCCATCGGCACCACCATATTATTCCCTTGCTACGCCCCTGCTTCCCTGGCATGCGAGTTGTTGCTCAGATGTATTATGTTTTGACACGGAGGAAGTACGAGTGTAAGTTTTGTTTCTCTATACAACTGCAAGTAGTTGCATAGATTCAGGTGCAAACGACCGACACCGTCAGTTTTTAAGTTTCATGGCACTAGCTTTTCTTTAGACATCGAAGATTCCGTTCCATTTCCTGTCAATAAAATAAGAAGATTCCATTCAATTCGTCACCAGTTGTCTAGACGAGTTTATAATGAAATATTAAAAATACAGTTTTGCTAAAGCACATCTAGATATGCCATAAGTATTGCACATCTAAATCATATGTCATTGATCTTACATTAAGATTCGTGTGAATATTTTCTTTTTTTTCTCTTTATGCTTGATTCACTCACTTAGATGTGCAATAACTAGAGCACATCTAGATGTGCCCTAGACACACCCCAACATTAAAATAAATGTGTAATCTGAGCACAGGACAAGAATAACTAATAGGAGTACTACCTGTGAATGGCAGGTCAGTGTGGCTCAGTCCCACACTATTTTAATTTTGGGATAACGAGTCAATATTATTGGTTTCATCAGATAGCCTTGCGCGGCCAGTTTGTTTTATTTTTCAGGCACCCCGGTTTTTTTAACAAGGTACAAACGCAAACGCTCATATATACACGTAGACGCTCACTTCTATGAATGCACACACACGCACTTCCTACCCCTATGAGCACCTTTAAGAGGCTGAAACGGCATATCATTTTAAGATTTACGAAGTCACTATAGGCACTCTTCTAAAGGATTCTCATGGCAAGCCGGAAGTGGGCGAATGACACACTTGTCTCCATTAAACATGAACTTTTTATCACCCGCAAAAGAAATGAACTTTTGATATTCTCCAAAACAACATCTATGGTTAGGTGAGGGTAGATGACACATAGTAACATTATTTTCCTGTCGATAATCTCAATTATATCAAGTTAACACCTTCCCTGACAGTATGGTTAAGCATGGGGAGATGACCCAAGCTATCTGATATGGAACGGTTCTTTCATCACCCCATCAGAAATTTCATGAGTGTGATCGATTGGGTCGTATGTGTGTGTGTGTGTGTGTGTCCATGCCGGTTTGGATTTCATGAAAGGACGAGCCGATGTGGTTGTGAGAGGGCCCTAACGGCTCTTTCAATGCAACACCGTGACCATGTGAGTCGTGAGTGTCGTCCATGTCGGATTGGTTTTCATGTACCGACTTTTTTATTTTTATTAATAAAGCCATCTATCTCATGCTGAAAAAACCTACTCATTGCGCAAAACCCCTATATTTATTAGGAATAACGGTCAACCCCATCTCTAGAAGTATTCGGTGGGCTCAAATGAAAAATATTGAAACCTTGACGTTGTGAACGCTGCTATAATAAATATGTTCATAGCAGAAGATGGTTTGTATCACCCACCCACGGCTTTGAAGGCTTGAACCTAGTGCAAGCCGCTTAGCTTATGCTTGGAGGGTGTACCAAAAAAACACCATGAGCATTACGCCGTGGCACTACCATTCCCAGACCCAGCTGCTGTTGCCTCTTCTCCTGATCGCCCTTGCGGCGGCCACCCGGTTGGTGGTCCTAGGAGCCGCTGCTGAAAAGCAGGGGCAGCCAATCACACTTCCGGGTTGCCCAGACAAGTGCGGCGACATTAGCCTCCCGTTCCCGTTCGGCCTCGCCGCCATGCCCGGCTGCTTCCTTGAGGGCTTCGAGGTCTCCTGCAACGACTCCTTCGACCCCCCTCGAGCCTTCCTTGCTTACCCAGGTTTATCCCAGAGTGTGACCCGCTACTCCTACATCTACTCGGGGGCGGCGAACATCACTGGCCGGGTGCGGGACATGAATATCACGGACGCGGTGGCGCCGTTCGAGCTCATTGGCGTATCATCCGCCAAGGGCGAGGTGCAGGTGTACGGCGCTGTAGCATCCGTCTGCAGCACAAATGCTGACAACTTTGTCAAAACTAGACAGGCTACATATTTGGTAGACACGCTCAGCATCAACGGGGAGGGGCCGTCGCCGTTCCTCCTGTCGATGACGCGCAATGTTCTCGTCGGCATCGGCTGGGACGTCGATGCTATGGTCTCCAGCAGCATCGGGGGGAAGGTCGGAAACAGCTACTTCCTCACCTGCGAGTCAGACCTCAGGGGCAACCTGCACGACGCCACCAATGGCTCCTGCTCCCGGCGGGGCTGCTGCCAGGCCTCCTTCCCGGAAGCGGCTCCCCTCGACAGGTTCTCTGTCAACGTGGATGGGCCCTATAACAACACCCTGTGGGAGACCAACCCGTGCTCCTATGCCATGGTGGTGGAGAGTTCGTGGTACAACTTCTCTACGCCGGACTTGTACGGCGACGAGTTGCAGCGCAAGATACTGCCAAGGGGCGTGCCGTACGTGCTGGATTTCGCCATCCGGAGCGGATCATGTCCACCCGAAGGGCAGCCGTCTCCCGTGTGCGCCAGCGCCGACAGCTATTGTGCCAACGCAACCAGGGGGCCTGGCTTTGTCTGCAAATGCTTGCCCCACTATGAGGGTAACCCTTACATCACCGGTGGATGCAAAGGTACTATATACTACTACTCGCACTAGTTTTTCAATTACCAGGGATATACATGACTACATTACAAAACCATCATCACAAGAAAACACATATGCTAATAAATTTCATCATAAGATTACCTCCGTTTCTGCACACAGGGTGTTACGCATATGCTAATATGCAATCCCTCCGTTTCTTTTTTACTTCCCATATTATGTTTGTCTTAAGTCAAACTTAGTAAAGTTTGACCAGATCTATATTTAAAACTGCCTCAAAGAATCTATATTAAAAAGTATCAACATCTACAATATCAAACAAATAAAATATATTCCATGGAGGATATAATGATCTTCATTTGGTATTGTGAATGTTGGTTTTTTTTCCTCTACAAACTCGTTTAAATTTTGAAGATTTGACTTAAGATAGACCTAATATGCGAAGAAAAAAAGAAACGGAAGCAATACATGCAAATATTTATTTAGAGTGGTTACTTTGAATTTTGTATGTTCAACATCTTTCTTTTTCCTCTCAGACATCGATGAGTGCGAGCACCCTGATTTGTATCCTTGTTCTGGGACATGCATAAACAAGCCAGGAGGCTATGATTGCCCATGCCAAAGAGGGGAGAAAGGGGACGGGAAAACAGGAACTTGTGTAGACAAATTCCCCCTACTACTAACAGTGGTTGTTGGTAAGCACTGCTAGTGCACAAGATTACTTAAAAGAAGTTGTCCATTTTCGTAACATTTTACACTTTAC